GGGATCTCAGTGTTGGAGGCAACAAGTGCGAGGTTCTGGACTCAATTTTACTGATCAAGGATACAGTCTAATGATAAGCTTTCGTAAAAACATCAATGAACCTTCCACGAAATTGAGAACTTTTATTTATGAACTGAAAAAAGCATATAGACTTTTCGAGAAAAGCTTAGTACCATGCAGATGGCCGATCGATTAATTAGTTTCAAAAGTCGCTACGCTTATGCTTTTCATATAATTGCCTTATGCTTCATGCTGTGAATTTACAAAACTTCGGAGGTCATTCTCGTGTTCGAATCATAACAATAAATAACACCGAAGTTGGTTAAAATTGTTTAACGATTTAATTAACGACCCAAAGCGTAAAACCTGCGTCCTTAATTAGAATTCAGACAATTGCCAGAACAGAGGCGAAGCGTTTTAGGGGAGAAAATTTTACAAACCATTCTTCTTTGGTAAATGAAAATTAGTTTCCGCTGCTCTATTGTTCATGTCGCGAAACATTTGGTAGTCATCTAAACATGTTATATAATAATGTAAATGCAATTGTTTTTAACAATTTCGACAATAAAATTTTGTTCTCGGTGTCTGGTATTTTGCGTCATTAATTCTGACGAAGTTTTGAGAAGACTACGTGTTTTAACTTGGGGGGGGGTGAGCATTAGTCGTCGTCTAGCACTGTATTTAAGCTTGCCCCGGAACTGATTATCATTGATGGTGTTTTGACTGAAGAAAACTGAAAAATGCCGGGTCGGATTTACAGTTTTCGGGGCTCAGGAGAAATTAAAATGTCTAGGGTCCTGTCAGCAAGAACCAATTCCGGTCGTAACAATTCGTTTTTTTTTTCTTTATTTCGTGTAACTGAACATGTGAAGTAACTTTTAGTGATTTTAGAGACGAAAATGACAACAAAATCTATAGATTCTATTTCTCTTTCAAAGGGACTTAGGGAAGACCCACCTGCCTGCTCGATGTTAAATTCGGCCCTGAAAAAAAGAACTCCCATATGCCACTTCGCTCAATCGATTCCTGCGTTGAAGAAACAAAATCCATGACCTCAGCAACAACATACGCAAGCCTACAGCATATGAATTAGCTACGGTGAGGCAGGTGGGGTGGTAAGCACGAATGATACAGATTCTGCTCAGTTCAAAGTAGTAGTGTAGCGCGAGAGACAGAGGAAAACCACGAATCTCTCCAATAAATGAAAGAGAATATTTTTTTATAATTCGAACTATAACTGACATGGAAGGGAATGCCCACTGCTTCCACTGTTTGGTAGGAGAAGCTGGTTTCTCTTTACACGGTCTGAGGACCCAGCCAACCACCATTCTAACTAGCAACAGAGATTTTACCAAATAGATAAATCTTTATGAACATAAAGCTGGCCACCAGCAGCCAACTACTGCTGGGTTTAAGCACGCGCGGAGTTTGGTGTTAATTCTGTTTGCGTGGGAACTATTAATTATGTTCTTGAAACCTAAAGAATTTGGCTTATTTATTATTAAAGGAATTTTCTGTGACTACACAGTTTTCCTCAACGCCTAGACACGTTTTCCCCGACGCTCTCCAGGGCTCTCGAACGAAATATTCTTCCACTTGAAGTTTCTTCTCTGCACGCTGTCACCAATCCCACCCTCCCATATGCTGACTGGGCCACCGCGCCTCATGTTCCCCTGCGAGTTCAAATCTGCAACCTGCCCAGCAATTCGGTTGCCCTGCATTCACACGATGTGGCTGTTAACATCTTAACTGCTGTTGTGTTTCCATTACCATTCTTGCCCTCATTCTTTCATTTCTAATTCTATCCATTCGTCATGGGCCGCGCCATAGCTCCAGCGGTTAGTCGCTGGCTTCCCTCAGCGGCGGCCCGGGTTCGAGCCCGGGTCTACTTAAGTGGGATTTGTGGTGGTCAAAGTGGCGCTGTAGCGGGTTTTCTCCGAGTACTTCGTTTTCCCTTGCCAATCTTCACTCCACCGAATTCTCCATCGTCATAATCACCCTTGGCATGTACAATAGGCCAATCATTGGCCGATGTGCCGAGTGGACATATATATATATATATATACATGTGCATATGTACGTATCTATGTATATTTTTACTTAATTATTAACACCTGAATGACGTTACCTACTGTATCTGTTATTCATGTAAAGTAATTTTCTTTTTCATTGGCACTACAGCCCCAGTGGGCCTAGGCCTACCTCCATGAAACTCTCCGTTCACTTCGGTTTTTCTAGATCTTACACGTTCGGTAGGACTCCTTGGGCGGGTGATCAGCTCGTCGCAAGGCCTCTACCTGTACACAAACACAGAAAACGCACACAAACATCCATGCCCTAAGTGGGATTCGAACCCACGATCTCGGCTTCTGAGCGAGTGAAGACAGTGCAGACCTTACACCGCTCGGCTACCGTGACCGGCACGTAAAGTAATATTACGGGGAATAAATTCGTGCACTAAAATTGTTATGTAATACGTACTATGTATGTTGTTTACTGTACTATAATACACAATTTATCTCGCCTCCCATTTAGAAAAGACTCCAATAAAAATCCAGTTATGAACGGATCGGTCGGTGGTCTCGGAGAAGTTTTGCTGAATTTATAATCGGACTTGATGAGAAAGTTATGATGCTTGAGGAATAAGATATGGAAATAGGGTTTCAGAGCTCATTTGAAGATAGCCCTGAAGTCATGGAATTCGCCTGGGAAGATAGATAAATCACGAGAAACAATTCTAGTTGCTAACAGGTCAGTACTAAGACTTCATCTACTGCACGGCAACCGGACGGGTTATGAGTCCCAGGTATCTCTCTATGCAATGGTTACTGGAAATTTTTCTCCGGGGTTAAAACAGCTGGGACGTGAAGCTGGCCATTCACCTCCATCTAGTACCGAGGTCAAGAATATTGGAGCTATACAGGCACTCCCACAAATTTCTTCATGGCGTGGTGCTTAATTAATCAATTCTCCCAATTTCACTCTCATAGGCTATTTGGGTAATGTTAATGATTTCTGTTTTATTTTCTCATATTTACGTATTACATTTTTCTGAAGTTAGCCTGAATTCTTAGAGCAGTCTCTAACTGATCTTCCGTCTCTGCTAGGCGTACTCTGCCGTCCCCCTGGCTTACGCCTTTTTGAACTGGTATTCCTGCCGATACACTACTTCCGGTTTTAATTAGTGCTTGATTTTGTTATAAATTTCTCTATTAATGCTGTATATATTTCTTGACAAATTTATCTTCTTCAATATGTTCAATACGCCTTCCAGTTTTATACTGTCAAAAGCCTTCTTCAGGTCTACGAAATAAAAACTGGTACGTTAAATTCAATATTTGTTTGATACGTGTATTTCCTAATTCGTTTGTAGGCGTCTATGAAGTTGCTGCTTATTATAATAACTTTGGAAACAAAACAAATTAGGAAGAAGGCCGTCTTCTGGGATGTGGGGCCGTGTACATATTGCGTAAACCGACGATTCGGAGGAACGTATCGCCTCCATCTTCAGGGTATAAAAATCCGCGAGCGAGGAACCAGGTGGCTAGCCACCTGCTCACGCTGGTTCCTCGCTCGTGGATTTTTATACCCTGAAGATGGAGGCGATACGTTCCTCCGAATCGTCGGTTTACGCAATATGTACACGGCCCCACATCCCAGAAGACGGCATTCTTCATAGTTACCGACGTGAAAACCATAAATCTTACAAAACAAATTATGAATGCTTGTGATATTACATTATTGACTGATCTTGCAATAATATGTTTTATTTATTATTGAATATCTTGAACCGACAAGGCTTAAATTGTGTGCAGCGCTTATTGCTGAACTGCTAGTGGTCGTAACTTCCAGAAAATGAATGTAACACAATTCCTGGAAAATTTACCTTTATCATTTTATTACTACCATAAAATGCTTTTAATTATGGACGAAAATGAAAATGCATCCTGAATTTCAGTACGATAAAGTTTTCCGAAAGGCAGTACTATTTGTTATAGTTTAATTCATTGCTCTGTTTATGTGAACCCTGGTGCTCAGTTCGATTCACTCTAAGTATATTAGCAAGAAATTAATAATACGACTATGTATGAATAATGTAGACTGAGGACTGCACTTACGTAATTCGTCATACATATGACATGGCTAAGCCCTCTGTTATTCTGGTCTGTTGACCATTCAAACGGTTATTATAGCCAACTGGAATAGAAATCGTTATTACGAGTGTCTTTATTGTCTCTGTGACATTTCAACTACCTTCAAATTGGCTTTTGTACTCAATGTTAATTTCTGTTAATGTTCACTGATTCGCTGTTGCAGATTTTATGCACTATAACTGGCACATTGCAAAATGTTTTGTTCATAATACACCATGTTCAAGTAGAACTTAAGGGGTTCTAACGCTGGTGGATGACACACAGAATTACTGGGTTTTTGGACTTTGTCCATCGTCCGAAATTCTAGGTAATAGAGGACACGACGTTTCGGAAACTGGATCTGTTTCCGTCTTCAAGTGAGAAAAGAAGACACCTACTCAGGTGAGCTAATCTCAATCACGTCCAGTGAGTGATATTAGCTCTTTTTAAGGGGCATAACTGAGTAGGTGTCTTCCTTTCTCGCCTGAAGGCGGAACAGATCGTTTCCGAAATGTCGTGTCCTCTGTTGATTGAGGTTAGCTATTTCTAAGGGGCTTCCCTTCTCACCTGAAGACGGAAACAGATCCAGTTTCCGAAACGTCGTGTCCTCAATTACATAAATTCCGGACAATGGAAAAAGTCCAAAAACCCACTAATTCTATACACCATGATCAGTTCACTGTCTGGGTCTCCCGAAACTAATGTAATAAGACACGCAACCAAATTTACAATCACATTTTTAATATTGTGAAAATCTTAAGGAGATCCAAAACAACAAATAAAATCAGATGAAGAGTATAATTTTGAGGAGCTTATTTCTGTGCCTTCGGAAAACTGACCAGTGTTTTCTGTTATTTCTGATTGCAGGTAGCAATGCTGGGTCTGAAGCCATGTTCAGTGTCTCTCCATCTGAGCCTCCTATGTGTACTTCCGCTGCATATGTGCGTGTTGGCCCTTGGCACAGTATCAGCCACCCCTGGCACTCCCGAGGCTCCTGAGGAATCTTCATCCGGTTCAGGCGGCGAAATTGATCTTCTGCCTCACCTTGAAGAATCATCTGCGGCCGACAATTCCGAACTGGATTTCGTCAAACGACTTTACGACTTCGGTCTGGGGAAGCGTGCTTACAGCTACGTCTCCGAATACAAGCGACTGCCTGTTTACAACTTCGGCCTTGGGAAAAGAAGCAAAATGTACGGCTTTGGGCTGGGTAAACGTGCAGGAGCTGACGGCAGGTTGTATTCCTTTGGTCTCGGCAAACGGGACTACGAAGATTATGTCCAAGAAGAAGAACCCGAAGATGAAGATGAGGAGATTGAAGATCCGGATGTGGACTTCATGGATAAACGCGAGAGGCTGTATTCGTTTGGTCTAGGGAAGAGGGCCAGACCCTACAGTTTCGGAATTGGAAAGAGAAGTCCTTCTTCAGGAATTCAGCGACTCTACGGGTTCGGTCTTGGTAAGAGAGGGGGTTCTTTATATAGTTTCGGACTTGGTAAACGTCCTGACGGCCGGCTGTTCTCTTTCGGACTGGGAAAGAGACCTGTCAGTTCTGGAAGACAGTCTGGAAGCCGTTTCAATTTTGGCCTCGGAAAAAGATCTGATGACACTGATTTCAAGGAATTTGAAGACGAAATTGAAGAGGAAGGAAAGCGAGCGTCACAAGGACACAGGTTTGCCTTTGGTCTGGGAAAACGTGAGGTGCTTCCCAGCGAACTGGAGGCAGTAAGGAGTGAAGAACAGGAAAAGGAGACGAGCCACAAGGATGAAAGTAGGAAGAACGGGACTGCCGAAGGCTATGACCTCTCTGGAAGAAGAGTGAAACGAAGTCTTCACTATGCCTTCGGCCTCGGCAAACGAGCGTATGATTTGCTGTCATCATCACTTGACGGTAACGAAGACGACGAAGAGGCCGACGAAGAGTTCTCAAGACTTGTCCGTCGACCTTACAATTTTGGCATCGGTAAACGAATCCCAATGTACGATTTTGGCATAGGAAAGCGCTCGGAGCATTAGAATTTTATTTCGATTTCCCCGAAACCAATCATTATCAAACACCAACCGATAATTTTCTCCCCTTTCTATGCCTCTCTAATAAAATTATAGACTCTAAACGTACATAAAATAAAGAAACATATAATATTTTCAAAACATACAACCCGAAATCATTAATTCTAAATGAAGCCATCTACAGTGAAACTACTGCATTCTATAAAAGGGCAGATAGCTAATCATTTAACTTGTTATTAAAATACATCAAAGCTTACGTAATGGTGTAATCAATTTGTGTTACCTCCTTAATGTCTCGCTCACTGGACAATGTTGCCAATAGTCATGTCTTGCTCAGTTGCTAAGGTACCGAGTTGCACAGACTGACATGATGAGGCCAACCGACACTCCGCCCATTCTCTGCATAATTGCAGACAAATCAAATTGTGAGGCTTGGTACTACAAGGCAAGTCCACAGAGAGAAGATTTTCGATCAGAGATGGCAGTATACATTAAGGATATTTCAGTGAACTCTTGTTTGCAAAGATGATAATAAAAGCAAAGTTTATGGACGTATTTGCGTTTGCATTCTGTGCAACTGACCTTCCTGTACGCGCATACACTTCAATTATTTACAGTTTTATGCATACCATTGAATATTATGGCCTCTAAGTTTTATGCATACCATTGAATATTATGGCCTCTATCTTCAAACTACAGAAAGAGTTCTGAAATTTTCCAATGCCATTCCTCATTACTTTTCCACACGTTTGTGCCAGTGTTCACACTTCTTCACATATTTCACTAGTCGACCTAAGTACCCCATATTTTAGCCACTGTTCCAAGTCTTAATTGCATCCCAAATTCATCATTCATATATTCAAATTGTTCACATACTGCTATTTCAATATAAATTAAAGAGTCCAGTGAAGAACAGCTGTGAAAAATTGTGAGTCGTAATTTAGTAACAGAATAAATTTCTCTCCATATGGCAGCAATTTCGACAAAGGCATATAATTTATTTCCCATTAGATTTCTTGTTACATTCTGCAGAAATACTGCTATTCATGTGTAATCAAATTTGTGACATTGGGAACTTATAAAATCATTTTGCAGTGTGCACTTATAGTTATCCGTATGAAATATGAAAACCAGTGTTCCCATTTCTTTAATGCAGAACCTACACACAGCGCTGTCACACGGTTACATCTGAAAAAATACGGATACAAAACTTGCAAAAAGATTTCACTCTTCAGCCATTCAAACTCTCTCTCTCACACACACAGGGAGGGTGCTGTGTTAAGTCAGATAAGTAGGAACTTTTGCTAACATTTAAGGTCAGATTTACATAAGTTTCGACAAACTTTAAGCAATTAGATGAACCATTAAAGTATATTTTGTATATATGTGCACAATACAATCCAAAGAGGAACAAAGTGATACATAGGCATACTGTGTAACCTGAAAAAAAATAGCCAGTATACAAATCATCGTCAGATGGTACATGTGTCATCGCGAAGAACTTACTGTTCAATTTTAACCATCGCTGTTTTTCAGATCAGTTCACAACATGACGTGGATCTCGATGTAATTCCAGTGATCGGTAACAAGTGAATAGATCTGTTACGTAGCCGAATTCTTGCTATACATATTAGAAATATTTTGATTTAAATTTGAAATTTATGTTGTTTTTAATCTACCTAATTACGTAAATGGAAACGAATCCTCAATAGCAGAAAAGGCAGTGTCTCTGCTGGAAATATTTGAAGTGTATAATATTTATGTTATACTGGTAAAAATTTAAAACAGAATAAAATGAATGTACCAACAAAATTTCGTTTATAAAAGATTGATGATATAAAAGATAGGATGGTGACAAAATATCTGCGTTTGTGGTAACAGTGCACTTTAAATTTAAGTTTGTATTGTTGGTGTCCATGACTCTGACTAACAACTGAATACGCTAATATTTTAAGGCATATCGCAATATTTAGAAATCGAGAAAGATATTTACTTACTTCAGTCAGTGAAAGTGGCTGTGACTTGCTGCTCCCCGAAAATTGAATGCTTACTCGTATTACATTCCAGCGCATTTTCGATGCTACTTCACATGAAACAAACATGCGCGTATACAATTCGCCAACAATCAATTGGGAGGTAGTTCCTGGAACTACTGAGTACCCATTGCTGTTTGTCGAATTCGGTATTAAATATAACACAAAATATAAGGAAAAATAATAATGAAAATGTCACAAACATATCTTCGCATGTATAATATTATTTCGTTTTTGTGACGCAAAATATCCTCTTTACCGACACATGAATGGCATTCACTAATTGGCGGGGTAATTCAAACAGTTTCCTTCTTTTTTTTCTTATTCCAACACCACGATATGACAGTGAGATAAACTGGCATCTCTGATTGGATAAATTACCGTAAATAACAAACAATATCGAAAATCTACTACAGTTTTCTTAGTTGGCTATTCAACGACGCTGTCACAAACAGTACAGCGCCAGAATATCTGTTATAATAATGATACTAGTGAAAGACCTCTTCAACACAACAGTACTCTTTGTTACCATGGTAAAACTGAGTGGGAGATTCATTAACAAAGGGCGAACATTCCTAACAAGTAAGGCAACAGTGAGGACCACTGCATCATATTACTTCTGTATATTAAAGAGTAAGTAAACATATAATTTTAAAAATTAATTGAAGAAATTTCAATAATAAAGGATATAAATAAAGGATGTTTAATAAAGGATATTTCTTGCAAGGTATTCCGAGTCTGTTCCAATTAATGAAACAATTGTGGCATTTTGGAATATGTCAATCCAACAGATTTACACTTTTCAAAAGGACTGTAAATTATTGTTTCTGGAATTGTTACCAAATATAACATTGAACAAAAATGTGTATGATGTTTGAAAACGATAATTCCATTACAATACAGAATAATCCTTTATCCCATGGACGAGAAGAACGATAACATGTTTACGTGTATTATTCCATTAAGTCCCTATTACAGTTCCAACAGAAAGNTTAACACCACATATACACGGTGCCAAATCCCAGAAGACTGCTTTCTTAATAGTCACCGCCGTGAAAGCCTAAAATCTTACATCCTAAACTTTACAGGGTCGGCACGACAAGTTACTGGCAGTACCCCAACATTATCTTAATTACCACCGATATATTGACATATTCTCAATAACAAGACAGCCAATTACTTACAACAGCTCGATGAACAAGCTTCATAAGGTAAAGCTATCCCTATACGCCACGAAGACAAATGGAGAGTGGAGGTACAGATCCATGTATTCTCAGCCTCGGCACTGGATGGACATAGCTGTCTGCTTCACACTAATGCTTTTACCCCCGGGGCAAGACCCTCCCAGTGCTAATTGGTTAGGAAATTTTGTGGACCTCAGGGGTGCTATGCTTAAAAGTCTCTTACACTTGCCGGTATGCAATTTCCTAGTCATCTAGCCCACAGGCTAATCATTTTACCGACTGAGACATCCCAGCCCATAATGAAGCCCCTCTTCTACCTTTTAATCTAATGTATCTATTATTCATTTGCACTCCAATCATCCGTTCTTCTTGGACGATTGTTATTACATAGTACCGACTGTCTGAATTGTAGGGATATCAATTATATTATATATTTATATATTAAAAATATCAAAACAAGCCTAGATATTGCCATTCAATCACTCGCTCACTCATGGAGAAGAGCCCTTCTTGAGGAGCCATCAATTATGCAGCTACTCTAGAACTTCCAAACATTTTACGGAATCCTGAAGTTCATTACCGTGTTCACAAGAGCCATCCACTGGTCCCTATCCTGAGCCAGATAAATCCAATCCATACCATTCCATCCTATTCTTCTAAGATCCATTTTAGTATTCTCCACCCACCTACATCTTGTTTTTCCCAGTGGTCTCTTTCCTTCTGGCTTTCCCACCAATATCACTCGTGTTACGTGTCCTGCCCATCTCCTCCTCCTTGACTTGGACAAATGTACAAGTTGTGAAGTTCCTCATATGCAGTTTTCTCCAAGCTCCTGTCACTTCATCTCTCTTTGGTCCAAATATTCTCCTCAACACCCTGTTCTCCAACGCCCTCAGTCTATGTTCCCCCTTTAATGTCAGAAACCAAGTACAGAACCCGTACAGAACCACAGGAAAAATTATAGTTTTGTATATTCTAACTTTTATGTTTTTAGACAGTAGACGAGAAGACAAAAGTATATATTATCATTAGAAACAGTAAACGGAATACCCGGCAGGTCACGGTAGCCGAGCGGTCTAAGGCATGCACTGTTTTCACTCGCTTGGAACCCGGGATCGTGGGTTCGAATCCCACTCAGGGCATGGATGTTTGTGTGCGTTTTTCTGTGTTTGTCTACAGGTAGAGGCCTTGCGACGAGCTGATCACTCGCCCAAGGAGTCCTACCGTATGTGTAAGATCTAGTAAACCGAAGTGAAACGGAGAGTTTCATGGAGGTAGGCCTAGGCCCAAATTGGGGCTGTAGCGCCACAGGAAAAAAAACGGAATAGCCTAGGAACCAGAACTGCGTTCCGGGCAATTTTTGATCCAATTATATTTGACATTTTGTATAATCTTCGCCCTAAACAAATGTTAATAACATAAACAGATCCATACGCAGATAAAAAATATTCTTCCGCCAATCTATATACAAGTGTTTATGTTCTTTGCAAGAATCAAATTACTCCGAAATCTATACTAATTGTAGTCACATAATTTCAACATTAGTTCCTATCTTGGTATGTTAAGGCCCCGCCATAGCTCAAGCGGTTAGTCGCTGGCTTCCCACCGCAGCGGCCAGGGTTCGATCCCGGGTCTGGTCAAGTGGGATTTTTGGTGGACAAAGTGGCCATGGGCAGGTCTTCTCCGAGTACTTCGGTTTCCCCTGCCAATCTTCATTTCACCAATTGCTCCACAATCGCCCTCACCTATCGCCTGGGGCTGGTACAATAGGCCAGAAGTGGCTGCAGTGCAAGGGACTTAGTCCCACCCCTCTATCAATAAAAAATTAGCATCTTTCATCGAATTTCTAAAATAGGTTCACAGTTCTCACTACAATTTAGGATATGACACAAGATATAGTCTCAGTTAAGACTTACATTGTTTCTCAACGGAATGAAATGTTTACACATGGAAAAACACTTTCTTCTTTTGAGCCTGTGCTCTTTTGCTATGCAGGTTTCTTCATTTCCTGAATGAAATATTTTATGTGCAACAAATAAACATGACGGCCAGTGGAGTATGTAGAAAATATGTATATCTCCTTGATTAGGCTTTCCACCCACACCACGCAATGTCGGTACACATGACTCAAAGCATAATATATACCAATACGCGCTATTTACTTTCAGATATAAAACACAACGAATCCCACAAGATATCACAATCTACAACAAAGGACGACACGGACGCTAACACCGTAAATACGGGACAAGAATATATATTAAAATATATAAAAAATAAAAAAATTGACAAAATTACATGTATCGCAACGATTTTAACAATATACACTAATGCAGAACAGGAATAGGATACTTCAATAAGGAGTGACGTATTTAAGAATACTGCCTGATGATGTTACAAATATGGATCGAAACATGTAGTAGTCACTAAATACAACCAACGTAACACAGAGATATTAAGATTAGTTTAAATTCTGATAAATTTGTTGTGCTGACGGTAAAAAAACGCATCATGACACAACAGGAGGCAAACAATAAAGATTTTCCACATCTGTAATGGAACGCTTTTGTTTGCAATACTTTCCTTCGGCGGCTGCGAATACGACTTCCAGAAACCGGCATCACCAGGGAGCCGAATCACAACTACGGCCATCTATCGAGCCACTGAAGGTTATTTCCTCTGCCAACGAATTCCTTGCAAAATTTCAGGTTCTCGCAGCGGTGGCTATGAAGAATTCTATTTTCTGGGATATAACGTCATGTAGTCCGTTGAATGTGAACAGACATTTAGGACAAACATGTTGCCTCCATCATCAGAGTCGGAGAAAAAATGAAGCAAGAAATCAGCATGAAGCAGGCAGTAAGCAAACATCGGTTGCATTTTCAACAGATTACACGGAATTATATCCCGCAAGGAAGAACTCTTCAAGGAATTCCTTGCCCTTAGCGGAACCCAAATAATCGTCAAATTTCAGCACAGAAGGTTTCAGGTTAATGCTTATAACATTTGCTTCTTATTCCATAGTGAATGGTTGAGTTTCCATGGCGGTAACCGTCATTTCCAATTGAATATTTTTGTGATACACCGAAAAACATCCAGATAAATACTGTTACGTATAGGGCGTGTGGTGACTTATAAGAAAGGTTCTGGACTGGATTATTGGATTTGACACATTCAGACAACTAAGGACTACAGGCAATACAGTGAAATCGTTGATTTACACACTTTCCAGTTCACCACTGCACACGCACTAGGGTTCTCGGTCTTCATTGGTCGTATCCTGGCAACGGATTTATAACAGTCTCACTGTCTCTTAAAATGATATATGACATCTTCTTTTCACCGCCTAATTCCTTACTTCCCATTCGTTCTCAATCACCTTAGACAACTATCTCCAGAACTCTACCTAATTCTTTACAACCCTCTGATCCCTTGGAACTTGTCGTTATATATCCTCGGGGCGGACCCCACAGAAAACGCCGTTTTTTTATTGTCCCATATTATTTTAGGCGTGTTTACTGATTCGTTGCCTAGCAATAGACGTTCTATTGTTGGGCGCGTTGGCTCCCGCGGGAATGCGTTTACCGGGTCGTTGCCTAGCTATGGGTCTATACATCACAATACCGTGGTAATAACGTAATCCCTCAATCTGGCATTTGAAACCCTAATCCCTGCCACTCCCTCAGTTTTTCAATCATCGTAATAATTATCTCAAGAGATACGTCGTCAAATTTGGTACTGAAGGCTTCGTCCTCAGTGAGTCCTTCCGGTAGGACGATCTCAGAGCCGGTGTGGATCTTGGCGAGGAGAAACATCTCCATCCGCGCTGGGGGCCTAACACTGAGTGTCTGTCACGCAGCCAGTTACTTTACCGGCAGGCCGCGCCATAGCTCAAGCGCTCAGTCGCTGGCTTCTTACCGCGGCGGCCCGGGTTCGATGCCGGGTCTGGTCAAGTGGGATTTGTGGTGGACAAAGTGGCGCTAGGGCAGGTTTTCTCCGACTACTTCGGTTTCCCCTGTCAATCTTCATTCCATCAAATTCTCCATCATCATAATCACCCGGGGCAGGTACAACA